TATGCACATGTGTATGTGTGTGTATGTATGTGCATGCATGTCTGAATCATGGACCTGACGCCACCCTAGGTTTTCGACTTCAGGCCCTTTGCCATGCGGAAGGGCATTCGCAAGTGGACCAGATGCATTTCGGTGCCCCACACGCCGACAGAGCCCAACCGAGGGTCTATTATCATAGAGGGGCCTTCATGACTTCAGAGTGTTTTGGGGTCGCTTCTATTTCTGCCAGATTAGGGACGACATGGAAGTATTATTATACCGTGACTATTTCAACCCTATTTTGGACAACTGTCCGTTTGAAACAGGGCTGCTGGACGTGCCTGAAACGCCTAAAACGCTTCACAAGAACCTGACCCCCAAAAGCCTGAACCCTCGAACCCCCAAAGCTGGAAACGATACAGCCTGAACACACACTGCAGCGCTACACACCAAAACCCTAAACCCCAAAGACGGTGAAACGTCAAAGCTTAATGAGCTTTAACCTTGAGCCGTACTTTCAGAAGCCTAAATAATTACCGGCATTATTCCCTAGGGTTCCTTATTAGAAGTATATTATCATATACCCCAAAACCCTATTCTAACTTTTAAGGCCCCGACATTTAGGTCTTCTTAAAAGATAGTTTTGTCTGGGGTTGTCATGCGCTGCTCTATATTCTGGTCTGATTTTAACGTTTCTTTACAGGGCTTGGTATGGTTCTGTGAGGGTTTCAGAGGGGTCTCCGGCTCAGGGCCAAGTTAGGGTTTAGGGTTCGAGGTTTTCGTGGGTAGAAGGGCGTTGCAGATGCGAAATACTTCGACCGTTACTAATGTTTGGACTGGTCCTTCCTTATGTCAGTGGCGAGTTTAGTCTTGAGGGTGTTGGGCTTAATGCTTGGGGTTATGCGGCCGTTTGTGGATGTTCCAGCTGCTCTTTGCAATGCACTTTGCAATACCCTAAACCCTAAAATCACAAACCCGAAACCCTAAACCCTAAACCCTAAAACCACTAAAACATAAGCCCTCCATGTAGGTGTGGGTAGCCGCGCGTAAGTCGTACGGCAGCCCCGATCCGCTCTGATGGCTGAGTCGCAGGTTCCCAGGTTTGGGCTTTGGGTTCGCTTTAGGGTCCAGGTGGTAGGGTTTAGCGTTTAGGGTTTAGGGTTTAGGGTTTAGGGTTTAGGGTTTAGGGTTTAGGGTTTTAGGGTTTAGGGTAATATAGGGGCCTTAAAAACTGCGCATACTGTTTTGGGCACCCACAATCCGACGCAGCCCTAAGCCCTAAGCCCTAAACCCTACACCCTAAACCCTAAACGACTCCCAAAGCGAAGAACCTCCGGGCCGGTTTGCTGGGCTTTCAGGTATTTTGCCGGGGATTGTGTCCCGTTTCTGGAAGACCTTGCCACCTGCGAAGATGAGGATTCGCGGCTTTGGGGGTTTGGGGTCTAGGGTCCTAGTGTTTAGGGGTTTAGGGTCTAGTGTTTAGGGTGTAGGGTCCTAGTGTTTAGGGGTTTAGCATTTAGGATTTAAGGTTTTGGGCTTAGGATGTAGGGTTTTGGGCTTAGGATGTAGGGTTCAGCATTTGGGCGCGGGTTTTGGCTTTAACGGTTTTTCTCGCCGCCGGAGTCTGAGTCTATCCTGGGCGTCTCCTCTCACGTCAAGGTCAAACCGTCAGTGTCCCTAGTTCTCAACCGCATCCTAAAACTCAGCCCTAAACCCCCAACCCTAAATAGACCCTTGACCCTAAACTTGGCCCTATACCGTTTAAACCTAAACTCCTCAACCCGAAGCCTGGAACATTGTCGCTTGCTGACCCTTGCGGTATGGAAACAAGCACTTAGAAACAATACCAAAGCCTTTGGCGCCCAAACCCCAGACGCAAACCCCCAAACCCCAAAACCCTAAACCTTAAACCCTAAACCCCCAAACCCCAAAACCCTAAACCCTAAAGCAGGGGTCAGCCAAAAACACCTTTGATCCAACAGCAACCTGACTCCTGTAGTTGAAAGTTGTCATGAGTCCCGCAAGCCGGCCCCGGCACCTGAAATCTTCAACTCCGTGGATACATCGAAACTCCTCAAATCCTGACTCCCTAAGCAAGACCTTAACCCTTAACCCCCTCCAAATCCTTAGCCCTGAACCCTGACAGGACCAAACACTTCTCTATCACGAGGAGGCCGGCATCCACGAAGCTTGTCCGCAAGACCTTGCTTGATGTTCGCGCGAGACGCGCGCTTTCAGTTCGCTGCTTTGGGACTAACATTCAAAAGGGCTGAGAGTTTCAGCAACGATTAAGGGCATAGCACTCATGACTCACGGCATTGGCTTCAGGTCTCGACGGCTTACGGTTGACGGGTTTCGGGTCAGGGCTACGGTCGTATTGAGGTTTAAGCTGCGGGGGCTTGTAGCTGCGGACCCCAAAACCCCGTTCTGCGCATTGAGGCCCGTATTTTGGAGCCTCAACTCTGGCCCTGGACTGTTGTTGAAGGTTGAGGGTCAGGCTTGGTTTGAGGTTTAGGCGGTTTAGGGGTCTCCGTTTCAGCGAAGCACCCTGAGTCGTGAGCTGCAGGAGAAGGTGAGGAATCTCTTGCACGAGTATAACTTGCTGGATACCACGCGCGGCTGGGAAGCAGGTGGGACTGTGCTGGAGCCCTAAATCTTCCCCCTTACACCCTATAGACCCTAGACCCTAAATGTGTAAGGGTTAGGCAAAGGGGTACTGTGACCCTAAGCCCTAAATCCTAAACCCTATGGTGTAAGGGTTACTCAAAGGGGCACTATAACATGGTTCCTTAGCCTGCAGCCTGCGCTGACTGGTCTTCTTTCTGCCGGCTGGTATGCTTGTTTCAGTTTAATGTTTAGGGTTTACGGTTTGGGGTTTAGGGTTCCTGTTGCTGTGATGGCTCTGTTGATGCCGTCCCTGTGGTTCGGGCCCCCCAAAACCGTTCGATTAGGGTCTGAATTGGGTCCTAAACCCTCAAAGCCTGAAGCCCTAGGGGCGTTAGCAGGGCTCCAAGAAGGGTTCGATTAGGGTCCCTATTCGGGACCCTAATCGAATGCCTACTGTATGGGGTTCTAGACTGCAGCCAGCCTTGAACTCGGCCGTAAAGCTCCGAAGGGCGAGCCTGAAACCCTTGAGCCCTAGAGCCTGAACCTGCTACCTTGTGTGGCGCCAGGCTTTCCGAAAGCAGCGGCTCGACAGCATCTAGACCCGATGCCAAAGCCTTCTGATAATTTTTGGGTAGAGCGATTTAGGGTTTAGGGGTTGAGGGGTTTAGGGTTGAGACAAGTCATGACCACGTACGAAGTCGGGGGCCTGTGCTACGTTGAATAGTGAAGGCCAGGTGGGTGAGGCCCTGGCGGATGTAGCCTTTAGGGTTTAAGGGTTTATCGGGCTGGGGCTATCGGGTCTTTTCTTCGATGAAATTGCGCTCGCCTTGGCGCGCCTACCGATAAGACACCATGTCTCTACTGGACAGGCAGCGCGTGCGCGCCTCCTTGTTCCGCCGGTTATGAAGCAGACCAAGGCCGAATGTACCGCTGACTAGCAACCCAAAGTGCCCAAACGTGGATTCAAACCAGAATCAGTTCAGCTCTAAACCCGAAATCCTACACCCTGAAACCAGAACCCTAGATCACGTTTTATGATCATGCCTTTGGGATCCATCCGAGTGCTAAGCTGTAAGGTCTCTTCCTAAATACAAGGGTTTTGGAGTGTTTGGGGGTGGGTTCTACTGCAGCGCTAGAGCCCCTAACGCCTACTTCCTTGGTATATTAGAGAATCTTAGGATATATTATTGTATGTTAGAGTCGTATATCATGGTATAATTCTATTCCTAAGGCGTGAAAGCCCAAGCCCTAAACTAAACCTTAAAGCCTCTAGCAGGGTAGTCAGGCCTTTGGCCCTAATGCCTTGGCGGCCCAGGATCTCCCCAAAATCCTTTGATCGAATCCCTGAACCACTGAACCACTGAACCCTGAACCCCCAAAACCCCAAAACCCCAAAACCCTAAACCCTAAACCCTAAACTCTAAACCCTAAAACCCCTAAACCCTAAACCCTAAACCCTAAAACCCCTAAACCCAAGGCGAAGATCCGTCGGGCCTTCGAGCAGAAGATCACACCCCACCTCAAGCCTCCACTGGGCTGCCGCGCTCTCCTTATCATTCCGGTTTAGGGTTTAGGGTTTAGGGTTTAGGCATTTAGGGGTTTAGGGTTTAGGGTCTAGGGGTTTAGGGTTTAGGCGTTTAGGGGTTTAGGGTTTAGGGTGAGCTTTTAAATGTATATGGCTATCTCTGGGTCTTAGAAGCCATGTAATGTAGCGGCCGACTGGCTAGAATGGAGTCTTTTGGGTGCATGTTGTGGTAATCAGGAATCCTGTGACATAATATTGGTAAAAAAATTAGTCTTCGCTCAAGCCTTAAACCCTAAACGCTAAACCCTCAACGCTAAACCCTAAACCCAAAACCCTAAATTAAAAAGTCGTAGCCCGGAGCCACAACAAACCATAGATCCTTCAGCACCAGATATGAAAGCTTTACAGAAACCCTAAGCTTAGTATGGAAAGCCGGAATAGATACAACAGTGTCTTTCAGCTCCTCATTTGGGTTTTAGGGTTTAGGGGTTTAGGGTTTAGGGTTCTTATTCTGTTCCTTCTATGGTATGCCCCAAATCCGATTCTAACCGTTAAGCCCCCTACATTAAACCTAGCCAAAGCACGATAATGTCACAAAAGTGTTTAGGGTTTAGGGTTTAGGGTTTAGGGTATAGGAACCCTTACAGCAATCCTTGCAGGAAGCGCAGGCTGAAAGGAAGGTCCTACACCAGAGCGAGACTCTACCGCCCAAAGCTGTAAACCCTTAAACCCTAAGCCCTAAAGCCTAAACCCTTAACCCTAAATCCTAAAGCCTGAACTCTAAAGCCTAAACCCTAAATCCTAAACCCTAAACCCTAAACCCTAAATCCTAAACCCTAAACCCTAAACCCTAAACCCTAAACCCCTTTCAAGAAAGAGCCAAACAAAGGCTCGGAGGTTTCCTGAAGGTCTCGGAGGAGATGCGCGTGTTGTGGTCCCCACCCTACCTGACCCGCTTCTTGCCTGGCAAGGTTGGAGGTTTTGTGTTTTTCGGGTTTGTTAAGGGTTTTTTTGGTTTTTAGGGTTTAGGGTTTAGGTTTTTCAGGGTTT